GGCTTTAGCCTTCTGAACAGCAGACAATCTTGCCGAGTTATTGGCCAACATTTCCAGCTGCTTTGGAAGCAGCTTCTAACCAGTCCCCGCATAAAACCGCCAACACATACACGTAGCATGTGTGTGTGCACACATTCGCACACAGCATGTGTAGTGGTCTATGGAGCATGGCAGTTTTTCTAGTTGCCTTAGGTAAAGCTTGTTCCCCAAATTCGAGTATGGCCTCATTCATATAACATAGTGATATAATGAGGGGTTCCTTTGTGAAATTTACTTCTAGATTCATTCACTGCATTCATTAATTCATCCTTATATTTACAGTTGTTATTGAATGGTTTGGGGAATGTCAAAAGAAGCCAACTGACATTTATTCCATTAAAAGCCAGATCTTAAAAAGAAATGTAATGGCCAGGTGCAGTGGCTCACGCCTGTAATCCCGGCACTATAGGAGGCCGAGGTGGCCTTGAGGTCAGGAGTTCGAGACCAACCTGATCAACATGGTGAAACCCCATCTCTACTAAAAATACAAAATTAGCTGGGCATGGTGATGCATGCCTGTAATCCCACTACTTGGGAGGCTAAGGGAGGAGAATTGCTTGAACCCAGGAGGCAGAGGTTGCAGTGAACCAAGATCGCGCCACTGCACTCCAGCCTGGGCAACAAGAGCAAAACTCCACCTAAAAAAAAAAAAGAAAGAAAAAGAAAATTCCATTATTCATCTCCTTGCTTTTTTCCATGGTGGCACATACAAAAATTATATGTGATTTAGCCTTTGGTTGACCATTTGTTTTCATTTTGGGCACGGTAGAAAACACTGGCTTCAGGATTCAAGAAACAGAATGGCCCCTGACCCATAAATGTATGACAACTAGCAAACTTTTTGGAGGTTTTCCTCCCTGCCCTCATGTTTTCATCCCTGCTACTTGTCTCTCCCTGCCTTTCCCTTTTGCCCACAACCAACAACCTCCAAACCTTTTAAAATGTGTTGCTTCCAGTATTAGGCAACTATTCTTTGAAAAAGTTTGTCTAAAAGTACATAGAAGCTGGGCATGTGCCTATACTCTCAGCTACCTGGGGACTGAAGTGGGAGGACTGCTTGAGACCAGGAATCTGAGACCAGCCTGGGCAATACAGCAAGACCCTGCCTCAAAAAAAAAAAAAAAAAAAAAAGTATATGTAGTAATTACGGCATGGACGAGGGCTTAAGCACTTCTCCTATAAGCACAGTAACCACTGGTGAAATAAGATAGCATACAGTGTGAGAAGGTGTTATTCAAACCAAAGAGAAAGGTTATTATTTTGTTATGCTATTTTGGTCACTTGGGGATCATTTCATTTTCTACTGGTCTGTATGCTGCTTCCAGGATAGCTAAGGATTATTATCTTGATTGACCTTGACATATACATAAACGAGCCATTACTATGTTTCTATAAAGAGCTTAGTAAGTCAGCCCAGTATATGAAGGTCCAGAGGCAGTGAAGAGTGGACAGTTTTGCTAGAAGACAGATTCTTCCAAAGAAGCAACAACAGATGGCAATGGTGTCTGAATCCTATTTTCAAGAATTATACATTTCAGGCAGAAAACTGTGGGTTTATCACTACAGGCAACGGGAAACTGCAAAAGACATGAATGGAGACTGCCACAAGATACTTCTGGGTCTTAAATATTAATATGGTAGTGATGGTCAGGAAAAAGATAAAGAACCCAAGAGGGGCCAATTAGTACACTGTCCCTAAGCAAGCCTACACATGGTGACTTGGGAGGAAAAGTAAAAGGAACTAATAGGAAAGGAAGAAATTGGGCCAAACACAGTTTTGAGTATTAGGTGATTGACATACCAATACATAAGTACCTCAGGGCAACTCAGAAGGGGAATGAGGATTTGAGGGATTTGAGGAGAATGAGTTTAATCAGATACATATTGAGGCTGTAACTGTATATCAAGTCTGGTATGATTCTTATTATTCATAATTTTCTTGAACCAAGGCACCAAATCAAAATCATGCAAATAGAAAACAGTAATTGTCAGGGCCTGCCATTGAAAATGAAGTCTAAGGTCATATCCCTAATTACGATTTTTTCTCCAATGCAATCCCACTGTAGTTCCTATATGAAGACTACCATGGCATTGTAAGATCCCTATGAAAAGGTATTTCTTGTGTGAACATGCCCAGGGAAGTTAGAAATCCTTTGATCACCAAAAGCCAGAACAGATACTGATTTGTGAAGTCAGTTAGGCCAACATTCCCTAGGTGTCCCCCACTGCTAAGTGCCATCCGTGGGCTACAAACTGTTTAACAGCTTCTTTGTTAAACTGCTTGTTAACAAGGCCTTAGTGCATGGAAGATGCAGATCACGGGTTCTCCATTCAAAAGCTACTCCAATTCTCCCCAGCTACATATGCAGGTGAATTAAATTTAACTACAGACTAATTTAGCAGTACAGAAACATATCACACATCCATTCTTTTAAAAATACAAAATATACCACCGTTTTGGATATACACATTTCCTTGTTTATGATGTCCTTAACTTCAATCGAGATGTGAATGTTATAGTAAAAGAGACACTAAACTGTCCTTTCTTTAAAGGTTTCACACACTCAAAGAGCATTCAGTGCTTACCGTCTACTAAAGACAAAGTCACTGCCAACAAAGCCCAATTCAATTTCACTTATTTGAAAAGTAAAAACATAATGAAGTTATCAGAAGATATTGTTTATGAAACATTCCTTTACTAAAAGTTCTCCATACAATTAGTGGCATTAGGCCATATGCCCTTTGGTATTTTCCGTATTTTCCAGGTGAACCTCCATCCAGTTTGTACATTTCCCAACAGCTGAGTGGGCTGTCACGCACCACCCAATGGTCAAGAAATTATCCATTTTTCCAAGAGGAAATGTGGAACTCTTTCAAAGCATTCTAATTTCATGCACAAATACATTCCATGACAGTAAGAAACAAAAGGAGGAAACATGACGACAAAGCCTGGTCCTTCGCCAGCCGGCGCTTCTAGAGTCAGGTTATCCACACACGGGTATGTAAAGACAAAATCCAAAATGCACGCCGTGGAACAAGGGGCACTACACAAGGCGCTGCTCTAATGAGCCCATTATTTTCCATAATGGGGATGCAGGTATTTTCTCAAAATCGTGTTCCCCTTAGTCTTCTATTGATTTTTTGGATTTCTATTTTCAACAGTGGCCCGAGGAAACAGCGGCCCGACTTGACTCCAATGTACACACAGACTCAGGTTTCGCCCCGTCACCTGTTGGCTCCTGAACAACACTCCTCTTTGTGAAACTTACAGCACTCATTTGAAACAAGTTTCCAGAGAAAACACTTCAAGAAAGTGTTTGAGAAATCACAAGACTCGAGTTGTAAAAACAAATTCCACACATAGCCTGGCTTATAAGGACATAGACTAACGGGACCGGCCGAGCTTTTAAAAAATGGGGCTGGAGGAAGCGGGAAGGAAAGGATGTCACCCTACTTCGGGAAAACTCAGCCGGCCAATTCTTGATGGGGCTGCCAGTGATGGTGCAGGGGGTCCCCTGGGTCGTCCCCATCCCCGCCGCCGCAGCAGCAGAGACGCCTCAGAGCGGGCGTCGGCGCCCCCTGGGTACCGCAAACCCTGCGCTCCGCGCGGCGGCGGCTGCTTGGGCCGCGAGGGGGCGCCCTGGGCCGTGGGTCGACGGGTACCGCTCCCTCTCTGCGTCCCCGGCCGAAGGAGCCAGAGGCCGACCTCAAGACCCAGAGGCTGCGAGGGAACCCATCCTCGGCGCCGACGCGAAGCCCCGAGAGAACATTCCCCCTTGTCCCCCAGCACAGAACAGTCGCCTTCGAACTCCCCGTCACCCTCCTCCAGCAGAAAGCCTCGCGCTGCTCTTGGCGCCGCGTCACCTCCACCGAGCGGCACTTGCCCTGCGGCTGGACAGTGGGGCCGAGCAGCCACGGGTCCCCACTTCTGTCCCTCAGCTTCCGACGAGAAGCCCCTAGCCGGCGCGCACCCTGCAGCCCTCCCGCGTTCAGCCCCCGCCGCCGGCTGCCATCCAGCCCTGGGACCCAGACAGCGGCTCCCACCTGCGGCCTGGACAGCGGCCGAGCGCGGCCTGCAGCCCCTCGCGGCGCCGGCCCCGGAGCCCTCGGCGCGCACTAGCCGCCCACCCGCTCTGCGTCTGGCGGAGGCTGGCGGCGGCTGGCGGCCCGGAGCGGGCGCGGAGGGCTCCCAAAGGAAAAGAAGGCTGGGTGTCCCACGGCTCACCCGCGCCCATCCATTTCCGGAGGAGACCCCAGCAGGGCGGGGCAGCGAGCACCGGTTCCCCACTACTTCGCAGCGGGCCGTGCCCCCGGGTCGCGTCCCGGCGCTGGCCCCACCTGGTGGGCAAGGGGTCGCCCCCGCCCCACCGTGACGCACTTTCCCCCCGTGCTGGTCCCCGCCGAGCTCCCTGGCGACGCAGCGCGGGGATCCTCACCCGCGGCAGCCCCTCAGCAGCCGTGAGGCATCCCACAAAACGTCCTCCAGCTCCGCAGAGACCTTCGGTCCCTGCCGGCGTGACGGACTCTGATCCCCCGGGTTGGAGTCGCCTCGTCCAGGCCACTGCATCCCCCAGGCCCTAGCTCTGCGTCCTTCCAGGATCCTTCTCTGCGGGGAGAAAAACTCGTCTCCGCTCAGCGCCGGGAGCCCGCCTGGGGCCGGCGATCTTCAAAAGTAATCAGACCCCGCAGTAGGGGGAAAAAAAAAAAAAAAAAAAAAAGTAACCATTTCGTTTCCTGCCGATCCCGCCCTCCTCCCGCCTCCCGACTGGCGATCCCAGCCCGGCCCGGCTCCCCGCTCCCGCCCGCGGGCGGCGCCTGCCCAGCCTGCTCCCGCCGCCGCCCGCTTTCCAGGAACTGTCACTGCTGACCGTGCCCCTGGCAGGTCTCCACGAGGTCCTGCGCGCACAATTCCTCGAAAAGTTACCCACCCACTTGGCCAGCCTCGCCGCTCGAGCACCTACCGCCGCCCGCCCGCTCCATTCTCCGGAGCCCAGTGAGTGAAGCCGCTAAGATGCAAATACCCTAGGACGCTTATGTAAACTTCCCCCTCCCGCAGGTGCACGCGCGGGCCACGAAACGCTGGGAGAATATGAAAGGCCACCTCTTAAAGAAATCATCTCCACTCTGCCCATAACAATGATGTCAGCAAATGGCACATTTAAGCAAGTTCTCACTTGGAAGGGCTCATTAGCATATGAATCCTCTTAGGACTTTCCCTGAATTTCGTAGTGATTCCTACCGCATAGCGCAGGAGATTTATTTTTATCAGTAAATAACAGCAAAGAATAGGAGCCAAGGTCACGCGAAGTACTAACTCAAGTACACTATTGAGAGTTTTTACAAATAGGTTAAGTGAATATCATTATTCAAACACAAGGAAGTGTCCCATACTGAAGCTAATCTTGTTTCTGAGCTATTTGTAGGTACACTGAGAGAAAGTGGAGCTGGGCTTCAGTTATATACAGAAAGGATCAGGAGAAGCAAAACATACCCTCAAAGCAAGCCCAGAAAAAAAATGATAGATTAGTAATCATCAGTAGAGGTCTAATCTCTTGTGAACTACAAATTTTAGTTTCTACCATAGCCTCCTTATCACAAGGTGAGAGAAATACCAAGAGAATGAAGGGGAAAATGCAATATTTAAGAGCTTCATCAATTTGTAAAATGTCAGTAAATAAAAGCAATTTAAAGTGGTCACCAGTTCCTTTGGTATCTTTTTTTTTTTTTTAGCTAAAAAATAATCCTGTGCCATCAGGATTCCTTGGGAGTGATTTGCAACCTATATGGTTCTACAGCATACAAGTGAACAATAGCTCATTGTAACCGTGATTTAAAAATACATAAACAAGTTGCCATAAATAGATCAGTCAAGTAAATCACTCTGTGACCAAATTCTGTTATCTCAGCTACAAAGTAAGGCAGCTAAGACTTTTTTTTTGTTGTTGTTACTCTTTTAAAGGGGCAGAAACAGAAAAGTTGTGGCTCTGCTGGTAGACTAGTTTGGAAACACTGATTCAGACAACACAATCTGTAATTCAAATAAGACTCTTTATTGGCCAAATGGATTCCGGTTTTGAAGACGATTCCCAAAACGTTCTGATATAGAACTCTTCTGGCCTTAGGGTTTAGGGATTTGTGGGAAGACTTCAAAGGTTACCATTTTCCTCTGTGGATCTGTAAAATTAACCATGAATACCTAGGTCAGATTTCCTTTTCCCTGCTTCACTCTGTTTGGGCTTCCTCAGGGAAGATTTCAACTACTTACCTATAGGAGAAATGTGCAATCAATTACTGATTTAAATGAAACCCTGAAATATCATGTCATTATGATAAAGGGAGTATCAGCAGGTGAATGCATTAAGCCAGGCAGACCCTTTTTGGAATAGCTTTTAAAGGACAGCTACCCATTAGGCCACAAAACACTTCCAACTACAAACTACAGCGGCACTTATCACTATCAAATGTCAGCCGTTGTAAACGTGCTTCCTCTAGGGCAGTTACTTGTAAATACGTTTTGTTATGTTTTCAACAGGTACTGTCACAGTTACCCACTGTAAGTGTTTTTTAGTGATGAAGCAGTGTGCAGACAGTTGCAAGCTTTCTATGAAGAGTTCAATCTGAATGAAACAGACTTTAGTCTGGTCTGAAAGAGGTTGTTTTTGTCAAGGGTGAACTTATGCAGAATGGAGAGCAAGGCCCCCAACCAGCATCCTTTTGTTTCAGCCAGGTGGAATATTCATGCTTGCAGATCACACTTTAGGGGCCAGTTGAGAAAGGAAGCCCAAAAATTCACAGGGCTTGGTTCCCTCGCTCCATCCTGGTCTTTGCTCTAAGGTCATCTCTACAGAGTGGCCTTCAACTCCCTAACTAAAATATCACCCTCCCTCCCTTTGCAATATTTGTCTGCAGAGCACTTAGCATTGCCAGGTATTTACATGTCTGTTTATTGTTCGTTGTCTTTCTCCTTTCCTAGAAGTTGGGGACTTTGGGGACTCACTACTGTATTCTCAGCACCTAGAATGATGCCTGGCACATAGCAGACAAATTTCATAATAAGTTAAGTGAATGAATGATTCTTAGACATATTCTTCTCAGGCCCTCAAAAGTATACTATACCTGTACAAGTAACTCTGTTTCTAATCTAAAGTCAAGCTGAACTACAATGTCCCAATGGAGGAGAAGATAATAGAAAATCAGAAATATGCCAAGGGCAGAGAAAGAGGCAGCATTTTGTTTGTCAAATGTCAGCCAGCTGCGTTGGGTCTGGTAGAAAGAGATAAAGGACACAGTATAAGTCAACTTTGGCGCTAATCCTTGGTTCTTCCGTGTTGTGTATATAGTGACCTTGAGGTCTTTTCTGCTCCTTGCCTTCATTTTTTCCCTTGTAAACAGACCTCCTTTTTAGTTTTAAGGGTAAGAGTTAGTTGCTCTTGGTCTCAGACATTTGAAAGGATTTGTAACTACTGTAAGTGCCAGCAATCTAGGAAGAATGTATTTAAATGATTAGATGTCTTTCAGGTTTCTTAATAGAAAAGAGAGATCAAAAGCTCTGATAATCACAAATGACATCTGACCTAAATCTGAGGGGCAGTTGGCAGATGTAGTATTAAATAGGGTGACAGTTCTAGTTTTCAATGCGAGCATATTCCAGAACATCAGTGTGGTTGTTCTGACTATGTAGATAGGTACCTAAAAGAATCACAAAATCACTCATATGAATGTAGAGTTCACAAAACCCTTGGGATCCTCCATCTTACCCAGATGAAGAAACTGATATCCAAAGGAATCACTGTAACGATTCTTTGTTTCTTTCCAAATTTGTTGCCACTGAAAGTTTATGCCAAATGTGTTACTTTCTTGTCAATTTTAAACATTTCTGTTGTATCCCGGATTGGTCATTAAACCCTGGTGGGTCACTGAACATTTGCAAATTCTACTTACCATTACCTGGGTCTGTAGCATCCCTAGGGAAGGGCCCCAAGGCAGATGCCAAGCTCTTCTTAGGGCTAACAGGCATTATAAAGTTTTATAATAGGTTGCAGTTTCCCAAGGTCTCCAATTACTCTTTCCCCTTTGATTATATTTAAAGCAATGTGATTAGAGAGCACTGGTTCTTTAACGTTTTCTACACCCAATCCCTCTTTAGGTTTACTACTCCAATAATCCGAGGTACCCATCCCCTCCCTGACCCTCCTTTGTGAGGGAGGTAAACTCCCCCTTCACAGTACCCTGATGCACTGGGTTTGAAGTTAGGAGACTTAAATGTCTATTATCTGTCAATTACTAAATCTGTGACAATGGGAGGAATCACTTCTGTAAGGTATTGTTTTTTTCATCTCTAAAAATGCTGGAGTTTGGATTAGGTCAATGTTTAGAACTTTTGAGGAGAGAACACAATCCATTTTCCAACTAAAATAAAAAATCAGCCAGGTGTAGTGGCCCACACCTATAATCCCAGCACTTTGGGAGGCCAAGGCCGGTGGATCACTTGAGGTCAGGACTTCAAGACCAGCCTGGCCAGCATGATGAAGCCCCATCTCTACTATACAAAACTTAGCTGGGCATGGTGGCGGGTGCCTGTAGTCCCAGCTACTTGGGAGGCTGAGGCATAAGAATTGCTTGAACCCAGGAGGCAGAGGTTGCAGTGAGATCATGCCACTGTACTCCAGCCTAGGGTGACAGAGTGATACCCTGTCTCCAAAAAATAAATAAATAAAATGAAATGAACATCTCGATAGAGAAACAGACGGAAGTGTCACTGCTTTATTGAAGTTCTGGACTGGCTTCCTCCTGACACCCTCCTACAACTCTCCTCACCCCTGTTCTTCCAAGGCAGCCCCCAGGGCACCTCCCTCTCTAACTAGATACTCCCAGAAGCTCCACCAGTTCTAGTATTTTGTGGGTCTCTAAAGACTCAATAGCTGGTTATGACACTAATACCAGATAGGTGTTTACAGCTGTGCTGTCTGGAGTCCACAGCCCAAGTTGTGAGGGAGTATATAGGACCAGGTCCATTCATTGACCTTGTTCAGGGTTGTTATCTACTACTGAAGACATACTGCCATCTTTGCCCACCCTACCCCTTACTAACTATTCTGAAATACTCCTTCCCCTACCCCAGGAAATGTTTGTTACTTTTCATGAACAGATAATTAAACTGGCATTCAGCTTAACTGAGTAACTTCAGGTTCTGACCTTAGGCTCTGCAACCCTCTCAACTCCTCTCCTGTCTGTCTGTGGTTTGATACACTCTTAAATTTCACTACTGAAAAACTATCAAAAAGTTAAGAAACTAAGACAAAATCTTCCAATAAATATTGAGAGTGCCGTACCATGGCAACCTATCTAACATTTATTAAATTGCAAACCCCAGTATACAGTATGATCATATTGTTGTAAGTAATATTTGGTAAGCTGACATATACATTACAAAATTATTTAGATACTATAAATATCACACCAGTAGTATGGTTTCCAGGGGAGGGCAGGTTATAGGAAATTATCATTTAAAAATTATATTGATAAAATAAATGAATTTTTATATTTTCACATTATATATAAACATTTTCTCTATCAACTTATCTTTTTTTTTTTTTTTTTTTTGACAAGACTTTCTCTCTTGTTGCCCAGGCTGGAGTGCAATGGCACAATCTTGGCACACCACAACCTCCGCCTCCCAGGGTCAAGTGATTCTCCTGCCTCAGCCTCCTGAGTAGCTAGGATTACAGGCGTGCGCAACCACACCCGGCTAATTTTGTATTTTTAGTAGAGATGGGGTTTCTCCACGTTGTTCAGGCTGGTCTCGAACTCCTGACCTCAGGTGATCTGCCTGCCTCAGCCTCCCAAAGTGTTGGGATTACAGGCGTGAGCCACTGTGCCTGGCTCTATCTGTCTATTTGAGATAGGGTCTGGAGCTATCACCAGACCCTATAAATATTTATTTATTTGAGACAGGGTCTGGCTCTGTCACCCACGCTAGAGTGCAAGGGCACGATCTCGGCCCACTGCAACCTCAACCTCTTTGGTAGCTGGGATTATAGGTGCACACCACCACCCCAAGCTAAGTTTTGCATTTTTTTTTTGTAGAGATGGGGTTTCATCATGTTGCCCAGGTTGGTCTCGAACTCCTGAGCTCAAGCAATCCACCTGCCTCAGCCTCCCAAAGTACTAAGATTATAGGCATGAGCCACCACGCCTAGCCTCATTTTATAATGTTCATGTAAAATTTTGTAAATTGTTGAAGAAACAATAAAGAAAGTATACTACAATATTAATATATGGAAGAAAAGTTTGAAAGCAGAAACTAACATTCCGAATTTAAGGCTGGGTGCAGTGGCTCACACCTGTAATCCCAGCACTTTGGGAGGCCGAGGTGGGCAGATCACTTGAGGTCAGGAGTTCAAAACCAGCCTGGCCAACATGGTGAAACCCCATTTGTACTAAAATATATAAAAATTAGCTGGGCATGGTGGCAGGTGACTTAATCCCAGCTACTTGGGAGGTAGAGGCAGGAGAATGGTTTGAACCCGGGAGGCAGAGGTTGCAGTGAGCCGAGATCAAGCCATTGCACTCAAACCTAGGGTTTAAGAGTGAGACTTCTCTCAAAAAAAAAAAAAAAAAAAAAAAATCCAGATTTAAGTATTAGTTGGTATGAGAAGATACATGAATGCATACTTCCTCTCTATG